TCAAGTAGCCCCCTTTGCTGGCAGCTTTGCCCCGAACCTGAGGCTGCCGAGAAGCCACGCTACTGTCAAGGTGGTAGCGGCTGATAACGCTGCCCGATTCCTTGGGGGACGAGCTGCCCTCCGGTTCCGGTCCTCGGGGACGGGAACTACGGAGGCTAAGCTTCCTCCTCAGCTCCGGCAGCTTCTTCATCTTCATGGAGAGACTTCTCACTGGGCCAGGGGACTTTGCCTTGCCAAGAGTGTGGACCTTCTTGTGGGTGGTGGGGCTCTGGGCCATTGAAACAGGGGCCATGGCCCTTTCCTCGGGATCCGTGCTTGCAGACAACACCTTTCCTGGGGAGAGAAACTGCATAAGACAAATCAAAGCAAATGCAACTTTCCCTATGGCTGGACATGGACACAGGGTGACCAGACGTCATCACTGCCAAGGAGGACAAGACACCGCATAATGTAGAACAACACCAAATAAAAGCTAAAAACACTAATATAAATGTGAATCCATGCTTCCTAGTCATGCTCAAAATGAAGGACATTTTGAAATTCATCCCGGACAGAAAGTTGAAATGTCCTGGAAAAGGAAGACACCTGGTCACCCTGACAAGTACAGTGAGACCTCCATATCCACCAATTCTTTATCAACTGAATCAACCATCCATGGCTTGAAAATATTCCAAAAAGATATAAATTCCAAAAAGCAAGACTTGATTTTGACATGTTATATAAGGGACACCATTTCACTATGCCATTGTGTTTAATGGGACTTGAGAATCCACAGATTTTGGTATCCATGGGGGTCCTGGAACCAAACCCCAGTGGATACCAAGGTCCCACTGTATTGCTGAAATGCCCCAGAGCCACTATGGGGCAAAGAAGGAGACTCCCATTAAACAATGGGGACAAGAAAGGAAAACCAACACATCCTACTAAAAAGGCCAATGGGGCACCCCAATTTCTGCATTGGGAAACATACTAGGAAAAAAGTGAGATTCTGTTCCCAAGAGTAAAGCAAAGCTGTTAAATAGATGACTATATTTGCAATACTGTGCATAGCCAGCCTCCTCTAATCCATTGTGCCAAGTCACAAATGGATTATGGGACATCCAATTGAATCACTAATGTGATGTGAAAACAACATGGATTGTAACCAAAACACAAGACTCTGGCCCAGAAACCAAAACTTATTATTATGAGTGACAAGTGGTTTGATTTTCTCTGGAAATTCCTGAAGTGAAAAATTTCAAGATCATGTAGTGAACTGTCTGGAGCAAAAAAGTGTATTTTTCCCCCATAGAAAATTTGCTGGGAAAATCTCCAGAAAGTGTTTGCAATGCTGTAAATAAAGCATGAAGTGATTTCTTGGCAAAAAAAAAAAAAAGGTGAATTGGATTTTCCCCCCTGGAAAATTACCTAGGAAAATTTTAACAAAATTTGAATTGCCCTATAGTATGAGAGGCAGTGTGGTATAGTGGTTTGAGCATTGGGCTAGGATGCTGGAGACCAGGGTTTAAATCCCAGCTCAGCCAGGTAATTCTATTGGGTGACCTTGGGCAAGTCACACTTTCTCAGCCTCAGGGGAAGGCAATGGCAAACCTTCTCAAAAAAATCTTGCCAAAAAAAACCCCTACGGTCACCATAAGTCAGAAACAACTTGAAGGCACGCAACAATGACAAACAACAACATATTTATTTAACTTATATTTATCAAGCTAAACTTTGCAATGTCCCAATGTGCTATAAGTATTTTAACTGAAATTATCTAACCTAGTTGTAGAAATGTCAGACTAGAACATGCACAATTGCATCATGCTACCCAATCTCTTAAGAATATTTTTTTGGATTTTGTGATGTTTAATAGCTCTGAATTCTTACCTTAGAAATATAATACAGAATTCAGAGCTTGCATGTTATTGTGGTTAAAAACTCACAGGGTTATTGTCAGGATAAAAACTTCCCCTCCTCAAAACAAACAAACAAACAAAAATGAGGGGAGAAAGAGAGACACTGCTTTCTGTGTTCAAAGTGATATAAGCATCAGCCATGGTTTTAGTTTTGATTTGAACCATAGAGATTTTATAACTTGACATATTTGGTTTGGATCATTATGTGTATTTATGATTTTGTTTTTACCCACCCATCCCTATTCATAGCATAAGCATACATGAGCTCGCACACACTTCCTAAGCATAATCACCTGAAAAACAACAATTTCATAATAGCTAGAGTGACATTAATCTGGGTTCTGATTTAAGTATTGCTTTAGAATACAACCTTGATGACTAAAACAACTTTGAAAATGCCAAGTCAACCTAGCCAAGAAACTGACTTTTTTTCCATACAGAAATAAGACACTAGAGATTTGTCTGTGAAATTTTTTACAGCCCACATCACTAGTGACAGAATGAACAGGATTTTTCTGACTCCAAAGGGATAAGATGATAGATATGCCTTATATTATTGCCAATGGAGTAGAGGAGGGAGCTTAATGGACTGTAATGGCACATTTAAGAGAAATGGCACTCCAAATAGGGTTAAGCCTCCCTTCCCATTCCTTACCCTTTCTTCTCTGTCTCCTGAGATTTAAAGTGCTGAGATCTGCTTGCCCACTTTCAAGCGAGCTCCACCAAGATTGCTTTTTTCCTCTGCCATTAGTCGCAGCGGGGAAACAAAAATAACTTTTCACTTTTCTCACCCACAGCAATTCCCACCAAGACTGGCACTTCTCTGATGCTTCTACCTTTCATCTCTCCCATTTCAGGACTGTCCTGGCACTGCCAACTATAGTAGCAGAAGAGTGGGTTTTTCCATCACACAGCTGGGTTGCATGGGAAATGAACTGGAGATATATTGGGTACAGCTATAGACTGTAGGTTCCAGGTTCCTGATGTAAGCAATATGGGGGAGAGTTGAGGGGAAGAAAACACCATGAATTGCTGGAAAATGAGAGATGTACTCCAGTGTTGTTGTGGAACAAAACTGATAATCCTTGCTGTTGTTAAAAAGGCTTTTATAGTGGTCCCTCCACATTCACTGGGATTAGGGGCACAGGATCCCCATGAAAGTGGGAAAACCACAAATTAAAAAAAAAACAATACTTTTTAAACCAGAGAAAGCACCTCTCTAGTAATCTCTAGGTACTCCAGCAAAACTCTGTGGTTAACATCTGCCAGAATTTGACCATAAAACCATGCTGGAGGACCTACAAATACCTAGGGAAGTGCTTTCTCAAATAATCTTTAGGGTCTCCAGAACAACTCTGTGGTCAACTTCTGGCAGAGTTGCATTGGTGGACCTAGAGATTCCTAGAGAGAAGATATTAATCAAATCCACAAATAATCAAATCTGCAAAAGTCAAAGCCACAAATGTGGAGGGTCGACTGTATTTATTCTGCTGACGGGTTTCGGGAAGACCCTTCTTCAAGAAATATACAATTACAAAAATTACAAAAGTTTATACATTTATTGACAAATGTTATACACATAATATTAAATTAGTTTTTCAGAAAAAGTTTTACTTACAAAAAGTATTCATAAAAGGCAAATGAACAATAACAAGTAGGAGGTGTATATAGATGGTTTGCTAAGCATTTGGTATGTAAAAACTTTTTTGAAAAGTAATTGTAATAGATCCTATAACATTTGTCAACAGATGTATAATCTTTATAATTTTGTAATTTTGTAGCTCTTGAGGAAGAGGACTTTCTGAAATGCATCAGCAGGATAAATAAAAGCCTTTTTACCAACAGCATGGCTTATCCACGTTTTGTTCCTTTAAACCGGGGTAGGCAACCTTTCCCCTTTAAGGGCCGAGGGACTTCAGCTCCCAGAATCCCAGGAGCTATTGGCCAACATGGGACTATTGGCCAACATGGCTGAGGCTTCTGGGAGCTGAAGTCCCTCGGCCCTTAAAGGGGAAAAGTTGCCCACCCCTGCTTTAAACAGAGGCTGGATGGCCATCTGTTGGGGATGCTTTGATTTTGAGTTCCTGCATGGCAGGGGGTTGCACTGGATGGCCCTTGGAGTCTCTTCCAACTCTATGATTCTATGATTCTATAACACCGGAGTACATCTCCCATTTTCCTGTAAGAAATGCGGGGACCATTTAAGAAAAATTAACTCACCACCACAAGCCTGGGGCTGGGAGATGCTCATCTCCTCAACTTGCTTAGCTGGCCTCATTTGGCTTGGAGATGTCTGGAAACCATCTCTCCTTGCTTGCTGTGAGCTTCCTAGGCAGATAACTTCCCGTCCGGCTTTAATCTCCACTGGCTTCCCCCTCCTGCTCCTGTTGTCGGTCCCGCCGCCCCACTTCTTCTCAAGGCCAGGGAGATGCAGGTCCTCATCTTCTGGGATGGGGTTGTACCAGATCTCCCCTTCATTGCTGTACAGCACATGAAGCTCCTTCAACTCAGTGCTGGAGCTGGTAGCTGTTGGTTCTTCCATGCCCTGGGTCTTCCCTGAAGAGAGCACCCAATGCCGGCTGCTTCTTTCCAGGCTTTGCAAGTAGGCACCCTGGCTGCTGCACTTGGCACTAATAAGGCTGGAGCTGCTGGACTCCACGAAGCCTACTGGCAACTCAGCATCCTCCTTGGGACCGCTTGCCACCAAGTCAACATGGTGTAGGCTCTCTTGGGATGGCGCTTCATCCTGGCCAGCAGGTCCCTGTGAAGTACTTGAGGAACTCTGGCAAGGTTTCCTGTTGTGGGAATCCTCTTGGCTCCCCCAAGTGAACTTGGCCCAGTTTTGCTTCCTTGACACTGTGATGGTGGTGCTTTTCTTGGTGCATCCATCCTCCAGTGGAAGAGACCCCACCGGCTGAGGACCTACAGAAGACCCTGAAGCGGCGGGTGGCTCCGATAGAGAATCTGTGGAGAACAGAAAATGAGAGAAAGTTACTTTTTTTAAACTATAAAACTTGTAATGCAGTCACTCCTCCATATCCATGGATTCTTGATCCACAGATTCAACCATCCATGGCTTGCAAATATTTTAAAAATATATACATTCCAAAAAGCAAACTTTTATTCGCTGAAGCAGCAGAAAACAAACTTGCTCCATCCTCAATATGACACCCCTTCCAATGCTTAAACAGGGCTATCATATCAACCCTTAACCATCTCTTCTCTAGGCTAAACAGACCCAGTTCCCTAAGTCACTCCTCATAGGGATTGATGATTTCCAGATCCTTCAATATTTTTGTCTCCCTCCTTTGGACACGCTCCAGCTTCCCAACATCCTTTTCGAATAGTGGTGCCCAAAACTGGACACAGTATTCTTCCAGGTGAAGTGTGGCCAAAGCAGAATAGAACAGCACTACAACTTCCCCCATTCTAGACACTATACTTCTATTGATGCAGCCTAGAATTGCATTGGCCTTTTTAGCTGCTGCATCACACTGTTGACTCATGTTCAATTTGTGGTCTACTAGGACTCCTAGATCCCTTTCACACATAGTTGCGTTAAGCTAGGTGTCTCCCATCCTATATCTGGTAAACTTGCATCCAGCAAGAAACACTCAGAAATTTCTGACAGACAACTAGAGGACTTTTTCTTCCATAAAACACAGTGATGACACCAAAGCCAAGGTGAGAGGTTGATGTTGTGTGCCTTTGAGTAGTTTCCAACTTATAACTACCCTAAGGCTTGTTGTTGTTTTGCAAGATTTGTCCAGAGGTTTGCCGTTGCCTTCCCCAAGGCTGAGAAAGTGTGACTTGCCTAAGGTCACATACACATGTACATTACATAAACACATACATTGTTGTGTGCCTTCAAGTAATTTCCAACTTATGGCAACCCTAAAGTGAACTCACCACGGGGTTTTTGTGGCAAGATTTGTCCAGAGGAGGCCTTCCCCTGAAGCTGAGAAACTGTGACTTACCCATGTTCACCCAATGGGTTTAAGATCCTATTTAAGTTTCTTTTGACCTCTTCCCAAATTCTAGTATAATTGTTTTCAAAGAACAGTTGGTTTCTAGTTGTTATATTTAACCCAAAGTATTTTACTTTTCCCACTATTTCAAACCCAGTTCTCTTCTTTTATTCCTCTTTTTCCTCAACAGTCATATTATTTGTTAACAAAATTTTAATTTATCTATATTTACTTTGAAACTCACAAATTTCCCATAGTCTGTCATCTTTTGCATCAAGATCTCTATACTCTTTAGTGGCTCTTCTAATATGATGACCACATCATCTGCAAATACCTTCATCTTTATCTCTTCTTTCCTCGCTTTTACCCCTCTTATCCTCTCTTATATATCTCAGCACAAAATCTCCCAACACCAAAATGAATAATAGTGGTGAAAGGGGTCACCCTTGTCTAGTTTCCTTTTCTATCTGAACATAACCAGTCACTTCATCATTTACTATTATTCTGGCTCTTTGATAGCTATAAATTCATTGAATCTGTTTTAGGAAATTTCTGCCAAATTCCCTTTTCTCCAATATTCTCAGTGGGTTTCGTGACCGAACTGGGAATCGAATCCTGGTCTCCAGCGTCAAATATCTCAATGATTAATCTCTGAAC